GGTCCGCACGGGGCGGCGCTGCGGGGCAGTGGTCAGGGGAAGCCGCAAGCCGAGGGGGCCTCCTTTCTGCAGGGGAGCCGTCTGAGCCGACACCTGAACGATACCAAAGGAGCTTTGCAGACAGCTCACCGGCAAGTGCAAAGGCCCTGGGGCCGGGCAGAGAGGAAGCCCCAGTTGCTGCCTTGTCTGCTGCTACAGTAGCAATCATGTTGCAACACATAAATGTATCAGTCAACACCTCTACCCCTTAAACTTATACAAAGTTACAGGTCAAGTGTTCTTCAAACAAAAGTGGGAAGAGAGGCGGGCAGGCAGAGCCGGTCCGGTCAGCGTTGGAGGCCCGTGTTCAGTCAAGTAGGAAGCCTGCGCGGATTTTCATCAGGGGAGTGATCTGATCTGATTTGCGTTTCTCAAAGATTTGGCCTGCCGCCTGCCAACCGAATCTGGGCTACTTCCCGTTTTCGGAGCTAAGAATAAGAATGGGCCTTGGGCTTTTAAGTGGAAGAGAAAAAAGAAAAAAAAAAAGAATATTTTGTGACATCGAAAGTGAGAGGAAATTCAGATTTCAGTCTCCATAACGAAACCTTTGTCAGAACAGCCCCGCCCAGTCCTGTCCAGTGTGGGCTGCTCTCCCAGGACAGGAGCAGAGTTAGAAGTGGCGAGAGACGGAATGTCTCTCAAAACCTAAAACGTTTCTGCCCTGCCCCTTCTCAGACAAAGTCCTCAGACGTCCGGTGTTGAGACGAGGTTGTGTGGGGCCTGATGACAGCAGGAAGCTCGATAGGAGTGTTACCCTGGCCGGGTGAGAGAGGCTCGGACTGGACACGGGAGGCGTTAGGATAAGTGATGGAGGAAAAGTGAGCAATGGGAAAGGTAACTCCTGGTTTTTCTGCTGAGTAACCATATGATTGGTAGCAGTTACTGAGGGATTGCTCTGTACCAGGCCCCGTGCTGAGTATCAGTCCACAAGGTGCCTCTGCTGTTATTGTGCCCATTTTACAGATGAGGACCTGAGGCTTGAGAAGTTAACTGCCTTGCCCACAGCGATACAGCTAGTACGTGACCGATCCAGGACCCCAGAGCCCGAGGTTTAGATCCGAGCTTTAACCATACTTGTGTAACGCTGTCCGCTACAGTAAGGTCACACCTTAGAACGACATTGGAGTGATAGTTGCAAGTATTGTTTGGGGTTGGATCTCAAGGCTCAGGCTCATGGCTTTAGCCTTCAGGTGCCATTGGCTCTTGGGCCAGCAGTAAAAGCACAGAACTTGGCACACAATTGTCCTCCATCTCTAAAGACCAGGTCACAGGACTGAAGTGTGATGTGTTTATCTTATATGCCCCTTACTGGACCAAGGGTTCTTCCTACACTGTTTTGTTTTAAATTAAAAAAAAAATTTTAAATTGTTTTTAGAGAGAAAGGAGGGAGAAAGAGAGAGAGAGAGAAACATTGATTTGACATTGCTGCCTCCTGCATGCCCCCTACTGGGGATCAAACCCACAACCTGGGCATACGCCCTAACTGGGAATCGAACCCGCAACCTTTTGGTGCACTGAGCCACCCAGCCAGGGACCTGGGTTGACTTTTGAAAGAAGACAGCAGCTGAAGATTCCAAGGGTGTTAGATTTTGATGTAGACATGCCAGCCCCATGGTTTCCCCCAGTGCTGGCCTTTTTCCGAGGTCACCGTCATTCTTCATGGACAGATCGAAGGTTTGAAATAACGACCTGAAAGAAGAAAAGCTCATTTTACCAGTCGAGAGCAAACGATGCCTTTTTTTCTAGAGGAGAAAGAAACCACACTCTTGTGCATTTTAAGGAATTTTTTTCAAATCAGCCAGTGTTTGGACTCACTCCACACGATCCTGGTCTTTTCACGGTGCTTCTGTGACTCGATTCTGTGGTTTCTCTCCAGCTGTCACATGGAAGCTTGTCTGCCCTTGGTGTAGGGCAGGGCCGATGATGTAATGTGACTAATATGAAGCTACGGACAGGCCTGCCCAGGGCTCCGAGGCACGAGGCATGTGACTCAGTTTGTAGGGCCCAGCTTCCCATTCATTACCCAAAGTTGCTGGCATGCGGTTATTTCGGGCTCAGTAACAGGCTGAGGTTCTAAAGCACTCTTTGGTGAGTTGCACTTGGAAGTCCTAGTGAGTTGACGGCAGATTTATACAGGGTATGGGGTAGAGTGAAATCTTAAACTCAGGAACTTTGCCTGACTAATTGGATGCTAATTTTCCAAGCTTTGTTGAAGAAGATCTAAGAGTGTGGATGGGACAAAGTGTGTGCTGCCTCTGATACCTAAATTGTGTCTGCATTCATTGTAGGTTTGCGTTCACTGGCCCTCTTCCCTTTTCAGCCCCCCCTCAAAAAATTACTCGTTTTTATATCTTTAGTCATATTTGCTCTGTAACCAATTTTCTGGTTACAGTTCCTCTTTCCTCTGGTCTGCCTGCAGGATGGCGTGAATATTTGAGTCCAGCTTAGTAACATTTAAATACATTGTGTCTCCATGAAGAGCTGTCTCTGAATTCTAATAGATTCCCTACACAGATCATTCACTTAGCAGTCGCCCCAGCATTGGGTCTAGGACCTGTGTGCCATTCTGATGTGGGTGAGAGAACATTTACTTAAAACTTAGATTTTCAGTTCCAGGTGCTGGTTACTGTAATTGTAGCGGATTACTTTCCAACACTGTAAACAGTACAGGTTAGAATATCATGTCAACTAACACAACTGCCTACAGGATGCTTTTCTGTGCCTGCCTCACGTGGACCATCCAGCACTCTGGGCTCCCTTTGAGTCAGTTGCCTTGCGGATCGTGCACACCCAGAAATCACTGCTTCCCTCGGTGCCTGTGTTTGTCCAAGTTCAGGAAATTGGGGATTTGAGTCTTCCAGGAATCTCTCTTCTTGTCAGGAATCTCCAGGTCCCATGGATGGCCTTCTCCCCAGAAACTAGGTTTCCCTTTCAGTCTGTAACTTCCTCTTTGCTCTGGTTTCTCAAGACGTGGAGCTGTGGCTGAGGTTACACGTCCCCTGGGAGGCTGGCTAACATGCAGACTCCTGGGCCCAGCCCCAGCGGCAGTGTGTGGGGAGGTCTGGAACACGGGCCTGTGAGTCTGGGAGCATCCAGGTGTTCCCCATGCAGGTGTCCGCAGATGGTGTTCTGAGACTCCCCAGGATTTTTTGGATTTCAGCATAATTAAGAGAAACAGCCCAGAATGTGTGGTAATTGAGAGTGTAGGTGGGTTTTTTTTTAATGAGGGACCTTGCATGAATCTGTAAACATCTTTTCCTCCCTGTCGTCCCCAGGTTAAGGACCGAGGTCCAGAAGCCACGAGAAGGTTCTTCAATTGGTTCTACTGGAGCATCAACCTGGGCGCGATCCTCTCGCTGGGCGGCATCGCCTACATCCAGCAGAACGTGAGCTTCGTGACCGGCTACGTTGTGCCCACCGTCTGCATCGGTCTCTCCTTCCTCATCTTTCTCTGCGGCCAGAGCTTCTTTATCACCAAGCCCCCCGATGGCAGCGCCTTCACCGACATGGTCAAGATCCTGGTGTACTCCTGCCGCCCCCAGAAGCGAACGGCGGAGCCTAGCCCCAGCGGGTGAGTGCTCCGTCCCACCGTGGGCTCAGTTCAACAGGACCAACTGACTGGTCCTTGTAGTTGAGACACCTGCTGCGGCTGTCTCATATTTGCTGTGTGCAGGGCACTGGCCCAGGGGTGTGAATGTCTCGTGTCCTTAACCCCCTGTCAGCACGAGGAGGCAGGTGGGGTGTCGTCTCCATCCTAAAGACAGACTAGCAGCCTGACTCGAGTTCGAGCTTTTAATTTTTAACCTGGCTGTGACCTTTCTGGTTGATGTGCTGGGCGGCTTCCTACGGCTCAGTTCCGTAGAGATGATGAAGGGGGACGTTGGCAGGCACCTGGGGGACAGGTACCTGCTCCGTACTCCTCCCTTACTTTAAAAAGCTTTGCCGTCCATTCAGATGGGGAACTTGGCAGTTGCTCACATTGTGGGCACCTCCCTGTGCTCCCATAGAAAGCTGCTGCCTGTCACTGTGGTCCGCACCCGAGGGTGAGCGTGGGCCCCTGATCCAAGGTGCCCTGCAGCCGCTCTGGCAGGAGAATAGAGCAGCAGAATAAAGGTGCAGGGAGGACAGCCCATCCCATCTGCACGGACTTCCCGGGGTCGCCCTGACAGCCCCATGGACTGGAGCTTTAGAGCTGAAAGTCCCATGTCCCGGGCAAAGTGGGCCGGCCCGCTGGTCACCCTGCCTGTGATTTTTGAAGAGAATGTCAGGACTCTGCCCAAGCAGAGGATCAGGATATTTTCCTTCTGCTGTTTATTGAGCTATAGTGGACACGTAGTAAAATGCACCCCTTTGGGTGAACAGTTCCGGGGCTTGCAACAGGTTTATTCTGTTATGTAACATTACATGTGTCGCCACAGTGCGTTCAGGGCTAGAGCTTGCTATTGTCCCAGAGAAGTCCTGGGACCTGTCTAGTCAGTGCCACAGGGAATTTTTAGGTCCAGGTCAGCGTTCTCGATAGGGCTGTCACTCCCTGAGCCAGAGGTGACCCCTCAGGCACATTCTACAGGCCAACCCTCCATCTGCCTCCTCGGGCTTGTCCGAGTGTGTCTAATTTTGGGCTTGGAGCCGTGACAACGTCCGTATCCTGTCCCTGGGGGTTTGAAGCTGCCTGAACAGCCTCCTTGGCCCCCGCCCCTTTGCTGGCTGATCAGACGGCTCACCTGAGCATGAGGGGACCCTGTGGGCTGGAGCAGGGGGCCTCGGACTTCCGGGCCAGGTCTCAGGTTCGGGCCCCAGCTCAGCCTTGTTGCCTGGGCCCATTCCTGCCCTCTCTGTGCCCGGCTCCTCCTCTGTGTGGGGGGCGAGCAGGAATGTCCTGACCTGCACGGGGTTGTGGGCAGGGTGAGGACTGAGCACTTGGCCTTACCTGCTGCCAGGTAACATGAGCCACCTTGTCATGATTGAGCTTTGCCCCTCTGCTCTTGGCTCTTCCTCAAATTGAGAGGTGACAGCTCCCCCTGCTGGAGCAGGCCCCCCACATCCCCCCAGCACGGTGGTGGCTGCATTTTAAATAAACAGCCCTGTTTTATCTACCACATTGGGACTGGTTGTCAGGTTCTGACATCTGATAAATTACTTTAAACATCCAAAAGTCCAGTAGATTTCTTTTCAATTATGAACCCGGGGGGGGGCGGAACTGATGTCACTGCCACCAGCTTCCTCCGCACGGTAGACCGCTGACCAATGTGACCAGTGCTGGGATGGAGTAGCCGTAGCTCAGGGACGGCCCTGTGCCTGTCGCCACTGGTCGGGGGCGTGCAGGGCCCTCGGTCAGCTGTCCCTGTGCGTGTGCGTGGCGATCTCAGGAACAGCCTGAGTTGCTTGGGGTGGCGCGTCCAGTGGGCAGGGGATGCAGTGATGTTCCCATGAATCAGTGCAGCCAGCTGCCCTCCTGCCTCGGGGGGAGAGAACTAACTCCTTCATTTTATTCTCCAAGTGAAGGCGGCGGAGTCTCTCGGCAGCCTTCTAAACACAGTCTGTTTGGTTCCTGTAAGATGTCCCACGGAGGGCCCTTCCCCGAGGACACCGTGGACGACGTGAGAGCCCTGGTCAAGGTGGTCCCCGTCTTCCTGGCTCTGATTCCTTACTGGACAGTGTACTTCCAAGTGAGTGGGACACATGCTCATTTCTGTGCCTCCTGTGGGAGGGGCCCCAGTGCGGGTCCTGCCGTCACTCAGCCCTTGGGGCCCGAGGCTGCTTTTCCGTGGGTCTGGCACCTGGGAGTCTCGTCTTGAGTTACTGACTCATTATTTGCTGACTGAAATGTTTTGAAATTTTTTTCCAAAGAGGAAGCAGGGAATGGGTCCCCTTTCGTTTTTCCAGGCCCCACTTTTTCATTTGGTTTCTCATTGGGTAACTCATTTCTTTTTGAAAGTCAGTCTCCAGACGAACTCAGGGTGAGCAGATAATAGACTGGTCTGTTCTCAAGCCCGAGTATTGCGCTTGTGGCTGCAGAGTAGCCGGGGGAGGGGCACCTGCCTCAGTGGCCGAGCCGGCAACTGTAACACGACCGTTTTCACCCCTAGATGCAGACCACTTACGTTCTCCAGAGCCTCCACCTGCGGATCCCAGAGATCTCCAGCCTCACCGCCACGGCTCACACGGTGAGAGCACAGCGGAGACCCGAGAGTGGCCACCAGGGGTGACGCATGGTCCCTGTGCCCATCGCAGCAGATGCCTTGAGGAGGGTAGTCAGCTCGAGTGGAAGCCTCCTGAAGGGGGATGTTCACTATTTTAGAGGCTGTTTTTCCTTGGTCGTGTCGTTTCTTTGATTAACTTGACTGGTGTTACCTGCATGTCGACGACTATTTTCATTTGGTTTTTTCTCCCCTTGAAGTAGAGAAAAGTCTCGTCTCTGTTCCGGGTCTAAAACAGGCTTTTGCCCGGGAGGCTAGACCTTGTAGAAACGCACGGGGACAACTCCCCGGCAGACGCCGCGCCTGAGCGGCCACGCGCTGCTTCTCGCCCGCAGTTCCCGGCCGCCTGGCTCACCATGTTCGACGCGGTGCTCATCCTGCTGCTCATCCCGCTGAAGGACAGGCTGGTGGACCCCGTCCTGAGGCGGCACGGCCTGCTGCCCTCCTCGCTGAAGAGGATCGCCGTCGGCATGTTCTTCGTCATGTGCTCCGCCTTCGCTGCCGGTAAGATTCCGGCTCCGGCCCATTTCCGCTCAGAACCAACCTGGGTGGTGGTGGGTGACGCGGACACGGGGACGGGCCGTCCGAGAGGGGTCCCGGGAAGCAGCACCTTCGCAGAGATACTCATGGGGTATCTTAAACCTGGGCATTGTTCATTTTATCTCTTCACTGCATGAAGTCTGGGATCCTCTAATTTGCCATTTTTTTCTGGAAGTGAAATTGAGGTCCTACTCTGGACAGTGGCCTGGACTGAGTCCCAGGAGGCTTGTTCCCGCCCTGCTGACTCAGATGTCAGACGGGTTGTTGGCGGGTAAATGATTTTCACAAACGAAGGGTGGTGGTGATTCTCAAAGGTGAGAATTTGCTGTGGATTCGTCACGTCTGGGCCGTTCGTGGCTCCACAGGCTCCCGAGCCCTTTGGCAGCTCACGCAGAATTCCACGCGCATTCCCGGGAGGAAGGTGTCCTCAGACCAGGTTCCAGGCAGCCCTCCCCTTAGAAAAAAAGAGAACGTTAAGGACTGAGGCCTAGTGTCCCATCACCAATGGGGGGTTACTGATGGGGGGGTTACGTCTTCAACTGGAAGACAAGTTAAAATGCCTCCTGCTAGAAAGCCGAGGCATTGCTGACGTTTTCAGCTCATTTGGACTTTTCCGCTCATTAATGTTTGAAAATGACTGAACCGTAAAATAGCTTCACTTTATAACAAGAAAGGAAAAGCTGATGTTCCTGAACACGTGCTGTCCTGAGGAACTGAATGCTCCGCCGAACGGGAGATGGGGTTTAATGCTCACAGCCTCCTCTCCGATCCCGACTAGACGTTTGTATAAACCATGGAGTGGTCCCCGCAGGAGCGGAGCGCCCTCCTGGCAGCACACAGTTTCTGCGGTGTGTTGACTACAGGCCTTTCCTGTACTTTCCAGAACAATCAGTAAACAGCTTGTAGCTAACACCCAGCTTTCCGGTTCACGTGCGAATGTCAGAGGACAAAGGCTGTGCTAACGGGCTCTGACTCCTAGGGATCCTGGAGAGCAAGAGGCTGGACCTGGTGAAGGAGAAGACCATCAACCAGACCATCGGCAACGTCGTCTACTTTGCGGCCGACCTGCCCATCTGGTGGCAGGTGCCACAGTACGTGCTCATCGGCATCAGCGAGATATTCGCGAGCATAGCAGGTGGGCTTACGGCCGAGGGGCCTCGTCTCGAGGATGAGGGCGGGCGGTTTCATGCTGTGGAACCGGCGGGGAGAGTAGCAGCGCGTGTGTGGGCGGGGCCTGCGGTTCCCGTCGCGTTGTTAAGGAAACAGCAGCACCTGGGGAGGTTCTCCTTGCTCCTGGCTGAGCTCAGCTTCCCAGCGGCATTTCCATGATGGGCCTCTGCCACCTCTGGGGGCCACCGGAGAGGACGTGCCCCTGGGGCTTCCTGTCTCGGTTCTTCTGGGTCTGGCTCGTCCTGCACCCGCTGGGCCACCTTGGTTGCCCTCCTGAGGGTGCAGATCCGTCCCCACTTGGTGTTTGAGCCCAGACTTCTATAAGGAGGCAGCCTGCATTCTACAAACGTCCTCACAGGCTGCCCTCCCTCGGAGAAGCTGGGCCGGGTGGGGCCAGTGGGGTCCCTGCAGACCTGCTCCCAGCGCTAGGGGCTGGAGGAAAGTGACAGCCAGGGGATGGGGGGAGGCCGGTGGGGGGTGAGTCTCCACTGCACACAGGGCCAGCTGATGGGAGGGGCTGGTCACCTGCAGTGGCCCCTCCTGTGGAAACAGGCAGGTCTCCTGGTGCAGTTACTGGGAGAAGCTGAATTCCAGGTGGGCTGCTGGACCCACGTTCAACTCTCGCCTTTAAGGTGGAACCTTAAGTAGTTCCCACCTCAGTGTGTGTGGTTTACTTACGATCCCGTCAGTAAGACTCTAGGAAACGGTTGCTTCTCTGCTTCTGTCCATGGAAAGTGGGGGTGTCTCGGAGTTGGCAGTGTCCATGGGGGTGAGGGCAGGACCGGGCTCCTGCGTCACTGCATGTTTGGGACGTGTCTCGTCCGCAGTGGTGGTTCTAGAGCTTGCTGGACACCGTCCCCCAGTGGGGAGGAGTTGACCCCCCAGGGCCTGTGCCTGCCCTGCACTGTGGGCAGGAGATGCGTCCACCCCTCCCGCTGCTCACAGACGCTCCTTCCCCCAGGCCTGGAGTTCGCCTACGCGGCCGCGCCCAAGTCCATGCAGAGCGCCATCATGGGCCTGTTTTTCTTCTTCTCGGGCGTCGGCTCCTTTGTGGGCTCGGGGCTGCTTGCGCTGGTGTCCCTCAAGGCCATCGGCTGGATGAGCAACCACACAGACTTCGGTGAGTGGCCTGACGGGCCCTATGCCTGGGCCGGGAGGGAGCGGCGTTGGGTGAGGGCTCGGCTGAGTGCATGTGCGCTGCCTCAGAGCCACCTGTGCAGGGTGGGGCCCTGCTGGCTCCTGTGTCGTTAGCGCCCCTGAGATACAGGGGCCTCGGCTGTCCCTGCAGCCTGCACCTTGGCCTGCGCCTGGCCCGCACGCGCCGCTCTGTCCATGAGGACAGCTGGTCCACAGACTTCACCTCCACCCTCGTGTCCCTCTCACAAGTGTCCCTGTATCCACCTTGGCTTTGCATTTTATTTTCCTGATGGTACATGTTCATTCTCTGCTATTGAAGGAACAGGTTATAGTTGCCCTTTTTTATAAACAAGTGTTACCCACGTCAGCTGTGAGGGATGTCACGGCCGGTACCAGCAGGTGGCATCTTGGGCATTAACAGACGCACAGAGGAGAGCTTTGCTGCGTGCGGGTTTACACTGGACCCAAATGGACCCTGAGGAGCGAGGAGCAGCTTCTCAGCCGCGCTCTGGGGGGGATCTGAGTGTGCAGCCCGAGGCTGCATTGAGAGGGCGTCCCCTTCGGGAATGATGGGGACAGTCACCTGCCATCTTCATGCCCTTCCTCACACACCAGCCCCGCTCGGGCTCCCTGTAGATGCAGGACTTTCCCCCAAAGGGCTGGGGACACACGGCATGGAGATGGTTGGGAGGAAATGCACCTCATAGTCACGCGTCTGCGGGGCGCAGGAACATGAAGGTCTTGTGTTCACCCTCCCAGTTTCCTGTGCAGGAAACAACAAGTGAAAGAGACCGACTGACCAGCTTTCCCAGCAGCCTATTTTTCTGAGGCTGATGAGAAGGCTCGGCCCTTCTGTCCAGTCTCCCCCATTCGCCTTCTCAGGCTGTCGTGGCCCCGGCCTCGGTCTTCCTGAGGGCAGGGACAGCAATGGGCCACGCCACTGCACGCTCGTGTCAGGTGCTTTAGGGACACAGCCTCCTCACAGAGATGAGACTGGGGTCCGGGGAGCAGGGCCGCGGTTCTGACAGGCTCGCATGTTCCGAATCAGGCGCGGGACTCCCCTTCGTGACCCTGGTTGAGTGCGGCCCTGCCCTTGGTGGGGAGGGAGCGAAGCAGATCAGGTCTCGTAGATTCCCTGCCGCAGCTCACGCCTCTCTCCTCACGCTCCAGGCAACATCAACGGCTGCCACCTGAACTACTACTTCTTCCTCCTGGCGGCCATCCAGGGCGCCACCCTCCTGCTTTTCCTCGTGGTCTCGGTGAAGTATGACCGGCAGCGAGCAAGGGCACAGGGGACGCCCGGCAGCCGGAGGGCCTGAGGGCCCAAGATCCAAGCGGGTCCCTGAGACTGTCTTTCGGGGAGGAACCGGCCGGTGTGCTGAGCAAGGCCTTCCCTGCACCTTCCTGCCACCCGATTGGTGTCTTCCGTCTGCCCAGACGGACTGCTAAGTGCCTTCCTGTGGCTGTTTCACGGGGCCTCCAGAGCAGAAGCGCAGGGGCATGTCCCTCATCAGGAAAGACCTGCCGGTCCTGCAGCCAGTTCTCTGCCAAGGCCACGTGTGGGATGCTTGGCTGTGGCCACATGTTTGCTGGCATCTTCGTGGTTTACACACATATTAGCATGTGATCTGACTTCTTTTCTTTGACAAGTAAGCGTCCACTTCTGTTGGGGTGGGGGTTTCCAGGAGGCAGAGTGGTTGGACGCAGCCGAGACGCGGTCAGGGCCAAGGCCGTGATCTCTCCTGAGCCGCACCCCTTGCCATTGGTCCAGGCCAGTACTGAGAGTATTTATCTGCTGCTTCGGACACTTATTTTTTAAACTGTTGACATCGCTTTTTCTTTAAGTAGGAACATAAATCAGGAAATACTAAAGCCCATGTGTCCTATCTCAAGCTGCAAACAGCGAGTATTTGAAACCTTGCCTAATGGGTCCTTGTGTGTCGTTTGGGTGTCACGAGACTAAAGACCGGTGGTGGGGCTGGAAGGAAAACGTTCTTAGGAACAAAACTGATGTAGTTAGAAGTGATGGGGAGTCAGATGTGACCTGAGCTTTCCGACTGGCCTTCGATATCTGTATAGTTGTTTTATATAACGTAGGGTCTGGTTTTGTTAAATAAACTGTTCTTTATTTGTTGCTGTATTTTTGGTATGAGCTTGTTATTAAAAACACGTCAAGTTTGAGGACTGTGAACTAGTTCTCTGCATGGTTCGTCCACCGTTATTTAGTGTTTCTGTGTGGGTGTCACAATGGTCCCTGAACCGTGACATCGAAGGTTAACGTTTCCTGAGTTTGTCCCCCAGCAGCTCACAGTGGACTCCTGTTTCGTTCCCGAAACAACTGGTTTTCCAAGGGAGCGATTCCCGAGCCTCTCTATTCAAATACAAACACGAAAACCCTGATCCTTTTTTGTTTTGTGGTTTTTTTGTAACATGGAAAAACCACAGAAAAGTACAAGGCCATCTTGACTGCCCCGGTGGCCTTGGTTCTCGGGCTGCGGGTGTGGGTTCCTGTGAAAAACAGCAGGCCGAGAAGCACTGTGTCCACTCCCGGGGAGGGTTATGCCTTCAGCGGAGACCAGGCCCCCGTGCTCTGAGGAATGCATTTTCCTATGAGGAATTCGCGGGGGTGGGGGTGGGGGAGACGGGGTGGTGCTGCCACCCCTCCCCTCCCAGCCGCCCTCTAACCTGGGCGTCCCCCCTCAGGCTGGGGCTGCGAGGGGCCGCCAGGCGAATCTGTCCAGGTGCCGAGCCAGCTCTGCCCTCGGGTCCTGGAGGAAAACCCAGGACGTTAGCTGACGGGCCGACAACCGTGAGGGTTTCCACTGCATTTAGGGTGGTGTCACCCTGGGGTGCTCGGCCATAAGTACACAGAGCTGTCCTGAGAGATGTCTCTGCCACGCGCATGCCCGGGAGCCTCGGATGTGTCTTCAGCCTGTGTTTAGCCACCTCGGGAAGCCGACGTGGGGACTCGCCACCAGGCGTCGCTCGGCCTGCTCTCCGTGTTGGAGGTGGGTGGGGGCACGGGTCCCATTTCCCCGCCGTATCTGGCAGATTAAATTGGAGGTTGTCATAGGCCAGCTTTTCCGCAGGACCTGTGGTCCTAGTTTCAAACAGACCCGTGAGCCTACTCGCAGTGACACGTTCGGCTCATCCATGTGTCCTGCTTAACTCGCCGGAAGCCTCCGGGTCCCGGGGGGCTGCTGAGAGTCTTTCTCCGTGACATCCAGAGGTCGGGACGGCCTCTTTGCAGCACATGGGGAAGCATTACGCTCCTAACGTCGCAAACCTCACAGCAGCGAGCCCCTTCCAGAGTACACGGGGCCCATTCAAAACCCAGATCACTGCTAAATTCCAGGTCGTAAAAAGTGATGATTTTTCCTATTATCAAACGTTCCACTTGGTGCAAAATACAGGCCCCCCCTTGAAAGTCAAGGCGGTTAGAGAAGAGCTGTGAGCAGTGACGACCACAGGGCCGCTCGCCGTTCCTAAAACAGGCCAGATAGCTTACAGCCACTTCCCAGGAGGGTGACATCATCTGAGCCGATGTTTTAAAACGTTCACGTAAACTCTGTCCCACCGCAGAGACACCTGCTCCGCACGGTCCTGTGTCAGGAGGAGGTCCCAGCCCTGTCCCCAGGAGATGTCACCCCTGCTGCGTCACCCGAACCAGCCCGCCTTGGAAAGTGGCGGCCTGGAGAACACTCTAGACTTTACCAAGGGTTTCTGTGGGCTGACAAATTGGTTTTCTTTCATCGATGGACCTCTAAGCTCTACTTAAAAGCTATTTTCAAAAATGTAATGCTTTCTAAAACATAAACATCCCACATCTGCATGCATTACAGGAAAAATGTTAAATCCTTGATAGTAATTAAAAATATGTTATTACATTGGGTATAACTGTTTTATGTGAATTTAGAAAGAACATAAGTAGGCTAATTATTTTTGGTGCATGGATTAGTCAAGGTTTCCCAGAGAAACAGAACCAATAGTGTGATTATTTGCATTTTTACATTCACATTTGTATTTGCATTTACAGTGAGGAATTGGCTCCCCTGATTATGGAGGCTGAGGGGCCTCAGGACCTGCCATCTGGAAGCTAAAGGCTCAGGAGAGCTGATGGTGTGAGTTTTTGTCCAAGTCAGAAGGCCTGAGAACAGAGGCCAGTGGGGTAAGTAGCAACCTGAGGGCAGGAGAACAGATATTCCAGCTCAGCAGTGGGGGGCGGAGAGGGGGGAATTCTCTCTCTGCCTTTTTATTCTGTTCAGACCCTCACCTGATCGGACGAGGCCCACCACAGTGAGGAGGGCAATCTGCTTTACTCAGTCCACTGAATCAAATGTTAGTCTCTTCCAGAAACACCCTCACAGGCACACCCAGAAATACTGTTTAACCAACCACCTGGGCACCCTCAGCCCAGATACAGACCGTAACCAACACAGCGCCTGTTCACACCCTTCCATTGCCTCAGAGTCCTGCACGTCTGCACCACTTTGCCACAGTTATACTCTCCTTAACGATACATTTTAACGTATAATCTAGGCTCAGAACCAATGCTGCCCCCTCCAGGATATTTTTATAGTGTTTTAAAATATTGACATTGGTAATAAAATATCCAGCACAAATACTTCCACAGTCCATGAATGTTCTTTTGGCCTCTGTTCAGAAAACCTTTCTTTGGCGAATAGTTTTACGACATAAGGCCTAACAGATAAATGACCTCTACTGAAGGTTTCTTTTAATATATATATATATTTTTTTTACCAAACTCAGATCCTGCAAAATTGTAGGCTTTCTCCATTTTACTCCATCCTGACACAGAATATAAATGTATCTAATTAAATCTAGGGACTCTCCCCCGAGACTCCTCCTCCAGGTCAGGGCATTTCAGGGCATAATGCCACGATTTCAAGATTCAATCCTAGACATTGGTATGCAGGAGGCCTGGGGGTGGGGTGGATGCGGGGTGAAGGGGGTCAATGGGGGGAAAAAGGGGACATCTGTAATACTTTCAACAATAAAGATAAATTTAAAAAGAAAAAGATTCAGTCCAGCCTGTCCTTGTCTCTGTTACTCTGCTCCGTTCCCCCCTCGACTCTGCAGAAATAAACTCTGGCGTCTTCCTGCCTCCCAGCCCC